ATGATTCCCAAGACACTTGGTTCCCAATCTAGAAACCTTGCATCTCTTAGTGCTAGTAAGGCAGCAGCATTTCTGCCTTGGGTGATAAGTGGTTTAATGGCCACTTGGACAAGACCTATGTGGATAAAATTAAATCCTTTAGTCTTGTGTTTCTTAAGAGTCTCCTTAGTGAGGAGCTCACAAAGCTCATCTTCTTTTCTGAGAGGATGAACTTGTTCAACAGTTTTAACTTGGTGTTCTTCACTAAAGGTTTTTTGAACCCAAGTTGTGCTATAAATATTTTTTTCTTTGACTGGAGGAATATTCCATTTTTTCCAGTCTGTTTTAGCTTCTTCTATTTCTAATTCTTCCTCATTTACTCTATGTGGCATAGAATAATCTGAAGATCTAGATGTACTAGCTCTAGAATTAGATCTGAATAATCTACTCATTTTAAAATCTGAATTGTTATCAAATTTTAAATTTATATGTAAGTATGATCACACTATACATACCCCCTAATCTGGCTCCAAATTCTCTCAACTTCTCGCCTAAGATCCCTTTCTGCCAACTCTAGGACTTACACTTGGGACAAGAAAAGGCTTACGTGCTCTTGAGTGTCTGGATTAAGGTTGGGTGATAGGGAAAGATCTACTTACAAATGAATTTGAAAGATGAAACAGATAAAGATTTCAAAGTGAGTTAGATGACCGAAATGAAATTTCAGAGATGATACACCAGGCCGTCAAATGGCTTTGATACCAAATATAGACATATATACGGAATAGATGGAAATGAAAAAAACTGATAAATAAAATATTTGAACAAGAAAATAAATACTTACAACATATATATATATATATATATATATATATATATATATATATATATATATATATATATATTTTGTATAAAAATTTTTGAATCTTGATTAATTTTAATTTTGTGAAACAGTGGCATCACCTACATCCAATTCTCGTATAGAAATGACTAAAAAACTTGCTAATGATCCCACATGGGAACATTGTGACAAAGTAGAAGGATCAAGGTTGAAATTGAAATGCATTCATTATGCAAATGTCTATTGGGGAGGCATTTCAAGAATGAAAAATCATTTGGCAGGTAATCGCAAAGATGTAGCGTCGTGTAAGCATTGCCCTAAGGAAGTAACTGAATTTTTTAAGCAATTGTTGGATGATAGAGCTTTAAGCAAATATATTAGTCTTGTGGATTCGAAAAGTAGTGGCAGTGTGGGTAGTACTACTGTTGACAAAATACAACCAACCACCACCATTACTTTGAATACCATGTTGAAGAAAAAGGGTAGGAAAGATGTATACTTGGATATTTGTAGATGTTTTTATACTAATGCCCTTCCTTTTAATTTGGTAAAAGATCCATATTTTGTAAGAATGTTAGAATCTATTGCATCGTTTGGCAAGGGATTGAAACCTCCATCGTATCATGAGGTGAGATGTTCTTTTTTGAAAAAAGAAACAGATTTGATTAATGGTGGGTTGATGAAAAATTATAAAGCAGAGTGGAGAAAGACAGGTTGTACTCTTATGTCTGATGGATGGACTGATGGGAAACATCGCTCTATCACTAATTTTTTAGTGAATAGTCCTAGAGGAAGTATGTTTCTTAAAAGTATTGATACTTCAGGCATTTGTAAGAATGCGAATAATCTTTTTGAGCTTTTAGATTCAATGGTAGAAGAGATTGGTGAGGACAATGTTGTTCAGGTTGTAACTGATAGTGCACCGACTTATGTAAAAGCTGAGGAGTTGTTAATGGCAAAAAGGAAAAAGTTGTTTTGATCTCCCTGCATTGCACATTGCCTAGATCTTATTTTGACAGATATTAGAGACATTCCTCTAGACAATGATATAATGTCAAAGGCAAGAAAAATCACAGTTTATATTTATAGACATTATTGGGTGTTAAATCTTATGAGGAAGTATACAAAAAAAAGGGATTTGCTGAGAGCTTTTGACCAGATTTGCCACCTCATATTTAACTTTAAGGAGTTTATTTCAAAATAAAATTGGGCTTAGAGCAATGTTTGCTTCTGAAGAATGGCAGAGAAGTCAATACTGTAAGAAGGGTGATGGTGTAAAAGTGATGGATATTATACTAGTTGACCAAAATTTTTGGGGATCAATCAAGTATTGCTTGAAGTGTGTGTTGCCATTGGTGAAGGTGTCGAGGCTTGTAGATGGGGATCTAAAGCCTGTCATGGGGTATATTTACAAGGCAATGGACAAGACAAAGGAACAAATTCAAAAGAATTTTCGCAATGTGAAGAAGCACTATGAGCCCATATGGACTATTGTTGATATTAGATGGAACATGCAATTACACAGACCTCTTCATGCATCTGCCTATTATCTCAATCCCGCGTAAGATTGAAGTTTCTCAATTTTTATATCATTTTATATCTATATATTGTATACTGATCAATGATCATTGTAAATCAAAATAACTATTTCAGGTTTCATTACACTGGTAGTGCGAACTATGAAATAAAGATGGGACTTTATCAAACTATTCAGAGAATATGCCCAAGTCCTATTGTGAGAGAAAAAGTTGATAAACAATTAGATATCTTTCACAATGCTGATTTGATATTTGGAATGGATAAGGCAATCCAGATGAGGAAGAAAAAACAACCTGGTTAGTGGTAACCTAACTTAAGTTAGTCATTTGAATGCAACTGCTTAAGTTAGTTAATGGAGTATTCTATTGTAATTTTTTATAGCCTTGTGGTGAGAATCATTTGGAGGATGTTGTCTAGAGTTGCAACAATTTGCTATCCGCGTCCTTATCTTGACTTGTAGTGCCACAGGATGTGAGAGGAATTGGAGTACATTTGACCAAGTGCACTCTAAGAGGAGAAATCGATTAAAGCAGCAAAGATTAAGTGCACTTGTGTTTGTGAAGTACAATCTTCGATTGGAGGCAAGACACCAAAAGAGAATACTAGAGGGTGATTCCTATGATCCTATTTCTCTCTCAGATATGAAATCTGATGATGAGTGGATCACTAAAAAAGAAGATGCACTCCTTCCTGAGGACACTACTTAGATGAATGTTGGTGAATGTTTTGAGGTTCAAGAAGGGACTAGCAAAAAGAGAAAGAGAGGTAAATAATATATAATTAAAATGTAGTGGTTGTTTTTTTTTCTTCTCCATTACTTTGATTTTTTTTTTTTAATATTTTGTATTGGTTGCTTTGTAGGGCCTAGAAATCTTTCTTTAAACAAGAAAAAAGGGAAGCAAATAGTTCAACTTGAAGATGAGGATGAGGATGAACAGATACAAGAAGTTGAAGATGATGAAGGAAGTGAAGACTTGTTGGCATCCGATCACAATGATGATGATGATGATGATGATGCATTTTCAATTGAAATTGAAAATTGAGTTCAAAATGGATGTTAAAAATTTGGATTAGAAGTCTCTATGGTATTTGAAGTTTGAATTATTGAACTATAGTTGTGAACTTTGCATTATAATAGTAGTGGATTATGTTGATGACTTGAATAGTTGGTTGAGTATTAATGAAATACTATGTTTTTATGAGTGTATAACTTTTTTCAAATGTATATATATTTTATTATTATTTATTTAAAATTACACTATATCTTACGATACATAATACGATACAATATTTGTATCTTACGATACGTCTTCCGATACACGATTTGATAACTATGGTAAAAAAATATCATGGGTTTATGCATGAAATACAATACAAATAAACAAAAAATAATACACAAACATATTTATGTGCAGGCAGTACATTTTATACCTAACAGTCATGAGAATGGGAGATCCACAAAGTAATATACCCAATCCGTCATTATAACCCACTACAATCTTAAAAAAAAAAAAAAAAAATCTACCCAATTCTAGTCATCAATATTCCAAGATCACAACCACCGTACACAAAATACTCAATACAATATTTAACTTTTCAAACAAATTATTGAAACTAAGCAAGTCTTACAATCCCGCTAAAATTCAAACCAAATACAAAATCATTAAAAAATTAAGCATCACAAAAAATATTCTTTAAAAGAAAACATAGCTCAAATTGTCAGAGTAGTTATGCTCTGTCAAGTTACCATAGAACCAAAAAATATTTTCATTGTTTTAATTTACATAATAGGTGTTCACGTTGAATTACAAATGTGACGAACTTCAAATGCCTAGGGTTCTGCCAAAAATAACTTAATAAAAAATAAGCATCAAAGAAGAATCTCAAAACAACCATCAAACCAATAATCAAATTTTAATTCAAGTATCGAATTTCAAACGATTTGTAATTAAGGATTTTCGAGGAACTAATAGAAATTCAAACTGACACATGTTTGAAATAATAAAAAAGGTGCATAATAGAAAATTTCAAAAGAAAAGCACCTTCTATTGTTTAAGCATTCTTCGTCATTTCCCAAGTTAAAATGAACTGAGTTTTTCAACAGACACCCAACTTTACTAAGAACTTCCAACTGCAATAGACAAACTAAGAACTTTAAAAGCATATTTAAAATTGCATATCAAAACAAACTAAATTTTGACAGAACCAAAAAAAAAAAAAACAACAGAGATATAATCCTTAGCAGAAAAGCACCAAGGGCAACTCCTGGAAGACACACTAATACAAACCTCGCTGTAGATGCAATCATGCAACACAGTCGACTCCAAGCACAAATGCACCACGACATTGAATTTCTGAATCAGAAGCATTGGTTGAATTGAGTTCACAATGCTCTCCATCTATGCGATTCATCTAATTGGCATGTTATAGAACTTCACACAATTGGATGAAAATAAGATTTATTCAATTAAGATGAAAATTTTATAAAATAATCAAAATTGTGGTGAAGTAGAGCAAGGAACTTACCCATTCAATTAAAAAAATAGATGGAGAGATCCAACAGCATGTGTTAGGCATTTTAAAAAACAGCTGATGTTCGTCATTTTAATACACGACTGTGTGTGTGGGGTGGTTCTCTGGAATGGGGAGGAGCTTTCGGGTGATGGGTTATTTTCTGGGAGAGAGAGAGAAGGGGATACCTTTGATGTGGGCTGGTCGCTGGAGTCTAGGCGTAGGTTGCTGCGCATCTCTGGGAAGTGTCTAGGGAGAGGAGAAGATAAAAAACACGGGGAAACCAAGCAAGGAATTAAATACACTGACAGTAAATCAAAAAACTAAAAACATTATTCGAAATATATTATTCGGTGGGCTGTGGTAATGACTGCAGGTATGGGTTCAGTGGATCTGTGGTGGGGATGGGCTCAGCGGTGGACAAGGGTGGTGGGGTAGTGTAGTGCTTGGTGGATTTCATGGTGGTGGCTATGGCTTGGTAGGCTGTGGTAGACATGAAGACGGTGTAGTGAAAGAGTTGGAAAGAGATGGAGACGGTGGTGGTGGCGTCGCTGACAATTGTCGATCTTGGTGGCTGGGCATTGCGACAGAGATTGTTCTGAGGAGAAGAGAGTAGGGAGAGTGTGGGAGATAGAAAAACAAAGAGAGAGCGGAGGGTTGAAGGCGAAGAGAGGGGATTAGGGAGAGAATCAGTAGCTTTGGCGAGAAAAGAAAGGGAGAGAGGGCGCGAAATTAGGACAAATAAAGGGTGGAGGCAATTAGGGCGTGAGAGAGGGCGGCGTGATTAAGGGGACGAGGATTCAAAAATTATTTTTTGAGCTGGATTAAAATTTCAAAAATAGATTTGGTCACCGGATCAATGATTTTGAAATGATCTGAGACGTGAATAGCCCAAGACAGTTTAGGATAATGTCAATCATTGGATGATGTCTTTTTTAATTTTGAAACGATCTCAACCGTTATTTGTTTTTAAAATTCAAAATCGTTCTACTTTATTATATAGATGTGTATGTATATGTGTATATATATATATGCGTACGTGTGTATATATATACATATGAAATTTCAAAATTCAAATGATACAAAAAAAATATCAAAAGTAATTTTGAAATTTTCACATTCTAGTATTAAAAATCTCATATTCAATTAGGCATGAACTATTTATGGTAGAGGTAAAAAGACATTTATGACTTTTTTTTAGTAGATGTACTTGTATTCCAATAATTGTAAAAAATGTACTTTTATTTTAGGGAGGTACCGACCTCCCTAAGCCCCCCAAAAAAAAGAGGTAATTAGAGAGATTTGAATCCGGATGCCCAAGGATAATATTGTACTAGTAATGCTACTCAAATTCATCAGTTGCATTGATTTGGTGGGTTAATTGGGCTTTTAGTTGAAAAAATTGCGATATAATAAAAACATTATAATTAAATGAGGCCAAACTTAGTAATTAGTAAAGTTCAAAATTAGCTAGTTATTCTTAAAGAACTTAGAATTAATTCTAAATCGACCCAATTGAGTTGTAGTTTGGTCTCTTTGAAGTATAACTTGGCTACACTGAATTATAATTTTTGGTATATTATTGAAAATTTAGCCACCCTTGAATAGCATTTCTCAAGTAATTTTGTGAAGTAAAAAGCTAATTTCCTCAAAAAAAAAAAAAGCAAACTGTATTTGATTACTATTTAGTATAAGTGACTTATATAAATAACACACTTACATATACACATTCATATGGCACTCCATAGACGATTAAACTTAAAGGATAGAAGTGAATCTCACTCGAAAAAAATATAAAGGGCGAATATGTAAAACAAATTTACTCAAAAGGTGATTGCGTAGTTCACTCACAAGTGGATTAAAAAGTAAGAAAAAAAAGAAAGTTCACTCATTAGGGGCATCTTAAAAGTTAAAGAGGCCCATCTTTATGGTGGATTGATTAGATTTGCAAGGAGAGTAAGTTTGCCACCCACCACTGTCAATTTCAACTGGCCCACCTTATTATGTGGTTTTATGTGAGTAAGATAGGATTCAGAAATACATTGAATTACGGATATGCTTTTGTTATATGGAATGTTATGACCATCACCTATATATGTTTTTTATTTTTTATTTTTTGATATAGGGTGTTTAGGCTTATACTGATTATTCTCTTGAATTCTGAGACCGATCACTATAATTTGAATTAGTTTAAGAACATGTCACATGAAGAACAAGGATGATTGACCCTTAGGAGATGTAAAAAATATCGAACTTGAGGCCTCTGATTTGTAACAGAAGATACTTAGCTACTAACCACTTCTAAAGAGTATCATTACCTATATATATGTATATAATATAGTAAACAATCAAATATGGATACGACAACTCTAGTGATACATGTTACTTACTAATTATAATCGTGGCTAGAGTTGTTAACCAAACTAAGTTATTTGAGCTTGGATCGGATTCGGTTTGTTCTTAACTCGTTAAGCTTGTTTGGAAAATAAGCCCGATGAACTTGACAAGCTTGACTCAATTATGTACAAATGCTCATACTCAGCTAAGGTTCGGCTCATTTTGAGCTCGTTTACGCTTTACTAGTTTAAATTAAATAATTTTTTAGGCTAAAAAAAAAGAAGAAATTTTTAAGGCTTTGCTCTTGTTTGTTTGACTATCGACCCTAATCGTGGTAATTCAAATGAAAAAGCTTTAAGTGTAAGTTTGAAATATTTGAGTTGGAAATTCTAATTGAAAGTTCGAAATCATTGTAAGCTTGTGATTTTGTAGATAATCAGACGCTTTTGCAGTTTGCTTCGATTTAAAAAACTCATGGTTGGAATGATTGTTCGACCCAAGAAGAGTAATAACTCTTACCGGTAGAAAGCGAAAGATTAAAAAATTTTGGGAAAATAGCAGTTTGCACCTTGAAAGATTAAAAAATTATTAATTTATATCCTCAAATATCAATTATTTAAATTACACCCTCAATGAAAATAATTGGTAACAATGTGACTCTAACCATAACGTCCATTACGATTTTTACCAAATTGACATCCACGTGAGATACATGTCATATTTTTTGTTGAATTATGTCTCTTCCGCTTCTCACGTGCATCTCACGTATCTCTATCAATTTGATGAAAATTATAACGGACATTATGGTTAGTATCACATTGTTACCGATTAATTTTATTGAGTATAAAATTTAAAATAATTGATCTTTAAGAATATAAATTGAGAATGTTTTAATCTTCTAACTGTCATTTACCCTTTTATTTTTGCTTGTGACTTAACTTTCCCGTGGAAAAGTTAGGTTTGGGGCTGCAACTATTAAAACTAACTGGCTTTTTACGTATCACCACAGATGATATCAATCAGTTGATGACTTTTTGCGAGGTCTATCTTCATTTTACTTGATTGGCCCCTGGAATTCAACAAATAAAAGGAAATTTTGTTTGAATTTCGTTATCTTAGTGTCAATTTACGAGTACTGACTATTTTTTTTTTAATCTATCATCATCGTTTCTAGTAAAATGAGAATGCTGCATAGGAAACGGTCGGAATAGCTCAGCTTGTAGAGCAGAGGACTGAAAATTCCCGTGTCACCTGTTCAAATCTGGTTCCTAGCTCATTATTAATTTGTATGAGTCTATATTCTACAAATTAATTGATCTGAATCAACATACATATTCATTAATAGTCTAGATCAGACTACATATTTTTTTTATCCATCTCAGTTCAGCCTTTAGAGTTATACCCCATCTATAAAATAGATGGGCAAATAGTTTATTAAATCCTTCCCCCAATTTTTTGATTGGATTTGATCTACACCTTTAATTTATTATATAGTATCTCAAAATAGACAATGCCTAAAAAGTTTTCTTCACTTTTCTATTGAAAAATTCAATGTGGATTTTCGGTCACAAAGCCAAAATCTATGAAAATTTGAACCATTAATTATTGCCTGCTGACTGCGAATTCATGAACGATTCTTAGGTTCGAGTTATAAAAAAAATTGTATCTTTTCATTCAAAATACGATAAAATATTGAAAATCTCTAAGTATGAGATTTGTCTTATTTTAGTTTTTAATATTTTAATTGCATTATTTTAGTCTTTAAATGATTGAATATATTTTTATGTGGTCTCTCAAGCAGATATCATCCAGATTATTAACGATTTTTTATCATAAATTTGTTACGTAATACCTAAATATAGCCAAAAATATAATTTGAATAACTCTTGACTTGATAAAATTTCTATCCAAGTTTTGGTCAAAGAGCTATTCAAATTATACAGTTTTGATCTTAAGTTATCCAAATTTTAGTAAAAAATTACTCATATTACACATTTTTTTTATTAAGAACTACCAAAATTTTGATCAAGAGCTACCCTATTTTTTTTTTTTTTGGTCGAGACTATTCTCACCTCATAAATCTCTGTTCTCACCCTCATTAAATTATAAATTTATCTCATCTATACTCACCTCACTAGTAACTAAATCTGCTCCATTCTATATCCACCCTCGTTAATAAATAAACTTATCTTAATATTTACTTTTAGAGTTTTTTTCTATACTCCATCTCATATAATCTATACAAAATTTACTCAACATGATTATCTATTGAAAACTGAATAAACAATTATGTATAAACTGTGTGATTCGAGGACTGAGAATTGATGATCTTTTTTTTTTTTTTTGAAGAAACTTAGTTTCAGATGCAACTTACAACAAATATGCCAAAGGATTTCTTTATGTATTTGAGAAATTACGTGTGACATTTTTTTTTTTTTTTGCTAATTTCTTCAATCGGCGATTAAGAAAGCAACAAAGAAAATAGCAGAAAGGAATCAGAATACTATTTCGACGATGAGATTGGAGAAGATAATAGATCGAACGACGACTATTGAAACAATTTGCATGAAAAAAAAACTATGGAATCCAGTTAGATATATTTTCGTGTATAGACTATGTGAGATATGTATAGAAAGAAACCTTTAATGTGAATATTGATATAAATTTTATTATTAATGGGGTGCGTATAAAATAGAGTGAGCTTGGTTACTAGCGATTGAGTATAGAAAAAGTGAATTTAGTAGTTTTATTATTTAGGGAAATACTATTTAAACATAATTTGAAGACTTTTATTTAGGGACTTAACGATGTACAATCATTAAATTGGTTGTAAACTCTATTTAATATTAGAATTCACAATTAATCTAATAATTGTATTAAAATCACATCATTAAGTCTCTAAATAAAGTTGTTAAATAAGGTATCTATAACATTACTCATTTATTTATAGTTTAGTGGGAGTAAAAGTGTAAAGGGAATAGCCCCACCTTTTTTTTGTATCACATGACAATATTTATGATTAAAAATCGTTAATAATTTAAATATTATTTGATTGAAATATCATATAAAAATATATTCAATACTTCTAGAATAAAATAGAACAAATTTTATATTTTAAAGAATTCCGGTGTAATTACCTAATATTTTGTATTGTACGATGATAAACTGTAAACTATTGGAGTACTACTACAAGAAGTTAATTTAATAATAGTTCAATGCTGACTTGGAGATATTGGTAAGGGATCGGGCAGCAGTTAAGTTTTTGACTTCTTTCGCCTGAAGAAGAAGCACACACAGATCTCGCCTCAAGAACGTACGTATATTTTTTTATTTGTGTCCATTCCACTTCTAGATGCTGGTGGTCCTGTGGATAATATTATTTAATATTTTTTTAAGGAATTTTATTGGTTTTGTCTCGGAACTTACATCACTTAGTCATATGGTCTGATCTTGTTCGTATTCTTGGTGGTTGGTGCTATGAATCTTAAAGTGAGAGCAGTTCTTTGAAATTTAAGGGTTAAAGAGGGTCAAGCTAGAGTTCCTTCATCTGGGTTGCTTTTTCTTGTAGTAGTTTTGAATTTTGCGTCTTGGGTTTTGATCAAATTTGTCTTTTGAATGGTAGGTTTGAGGATATACTTAGCAGTTTTTAAGGTTTGATTATTGGGTTTTTTATTTTTTGGACATGTAAAGAATTAGCTGGGAATTAGACCAAGTTGGTGTGGAGAGGTTAGGGAGTTTGTTTGAGTTGGCGCATGAGACACGAGGAAATATTATAGTTGAAGTAATTCTAAGCAGGTTGGCTGTGTTGAGTTCTCTTTGGTTTCATTTTCTAAGGTGTTTTCATGGGTTTTTAGCAGGTTAGCAGTATTGGGTTCTCATTGGTTTCACTTCTTTTAGGTGCTTTCATGGGTTGCTTGAATTGGAACCATGATGTGATTGATTGGATTAAACCAATTTGAATAGTTTTGGATTGAGGGGATGATACAGTTGAATCCTTTTGTGTGTTGTGAGATATTTTGCTTTGAATTGAGCTGAAGGATCTGAATTCTGAAAAATGGGAAGCAAGGGTAAGACTATTGTATGGTTTAGGAGGGATCTCAGGATAGAGGACAATCCTGCCTTAGCTACTGCTGCTAAGGAAGGGTGTGTGCTACCTGTGTTCATATGGTGCCCCGAGGAAGAAGGACAATTCTACCCAGGCCGAGTTTCAAGATGGTGGCTGAAGCAGTCTCTGATCCACTTAGACCAATCTTTGAGGTCTCTTGGGGCTGCACTTGTGCTGATCAAGGCTCAGAGTACTCTTGCTGCTCTTTTGGAATGCATAAATGCCATTGGGGCGACAAAAGTTGTATATAACCATCTTTATGGTATGCTGCTTCTTTTCCCTATTTCCATAACTATATATTCTTTCAGTTCTTCAGTGACTTCTGTGAAGAAAAATTTAATGTGTAATGATTATGTGATATTTCATTTTTGCTATTTTGAATTTTTATTGCTCAGATTCCTTGGACTGTCGTAAAGGGTGATTTCACAATTTCTTTTTGTATCTTCTAACTTTGAAAAATAGCTATTGGATCTCAGAAAGGCAAATAATCATTTGGAATTGAAAGCAATGCAAACCTCAAGAAGATGGTAAATGATGTAATCACAAATTTAAGGAGCTTAAAGTTTCTTTTCTTGACAATTTGCAATAGTAAGGTCGGAGATAGAAAATTACAGCATAGAGTTTCCTGTTTCACCACGCCAAACTTGGGATTCAAGGGCTATCACGCATGGTTAATAAATGAGACTTTGGGGAATAGGTAGCAAATGTATTTCGGAATTAGTCGAAGAAAAAGTTGTGTGGCTAAAGCAATTCAGTTTTTTTGGAGTTTCATGTGTATTCGATTAGTTTTAGACTAGGGGCAATATGGTGTTGCTCAGAAATTATATGGGGTATACAGGCTATGTGTGACCTATGTCCACATGCAATTGAAATAAGGTATTTTCGGGTGACGGGATCTAGACAGGAAAGTTTGGCTTGCTTTATGAAATGCTAAAATTCAGCAACATTTCAGAGAAAAGAAAAATGTTGATCCTATGTGTGCTTATATTATGTGCAAACATCCTGTGATATATCATTTGAGTCTGATTAGAATATCACAGAAACTATGTGAGCTAGGAAGTTGTGGAGCTTTCACATATATCATAACCTTTGTGAAATATTTTCTTCACACTAGAGCAGATTGGACGGTTTGAACAGGAAGTTCTCTTAAGCTTATCTTAGGCTGTGTTTTTAGATGATGAAATGTGAATTCCACCACAGGGTGCTGAACACATGGTCAGAGCTGCCAGGTACTATATTGGGCAGCTGGATAGAAGATTACTTTGTGGCTTTAGTTGATCTTGAAATGAAGAAGATGCCAAAAAACTAATGCAGCTTGAAACGAAGGAAATTTTAGCTATGTACATGCTATGAAAGACGAAGATAAAGCAAAAAAATCTTTCTTTCTGTATAAAAGGGTGTTTGGAAATCACAATATTTATAACTCCCAGATTCTTACGATCCATGTTCATTAGATGTGCTCTCAGCAGTGGCTGCTGAAAATGACTTGTATATATTTCTACTGATTGACTAATGATGTCAGATGTACTGACACAAATTGTTAGTTATAATATTGGGAAGACAGTGGTCATAACCCTCTCAATAGTAGAGTGACTGTTTAAGAGTGACTTGAAGGTGCACTGTTATCTGGTGGATGTTTCAAAAGAAGGAAAATTGGAGGGAGAAAAGGACTTTTACTTGTTGAACCAGGAATAATCTGCTGTCAAATGCCCTCTAGTTTGAATGGCTGGAACTCAAATGGCCTAAAGTCACCTGTGGAGGCAATGGTGCTTTCCTTTCATGTAATTGATTGATTGGTTTCTTATTTTGCTGCTAATTGCATAATGTATTAATTGGATTCTCCAAGAGCAATGTTGACTCTGAATTTGCGGTACTTATGCCTATCCTCGTGCTTGTTTTTCAGTTTGGAAAATGTCAATAAAATCTTTATGGAATTCTCTGGTACTTCTTCCTTTGTTTTTTTTTTTTTGAGATCTTTTACCTTCTTCCTAATGACATAATCTTCCAGTTCCTAAATGACCTATATTGGAACTCATTTAACTGCATGATTTTTTTGTGATACTTCGTGTGATGTTCCTGGGTGTTTGTTTGTTTATATCCATTGAAGAACGATTTTACTACTTAGTTCTGATATTTTTCAAACTATAACATAAGATGTGGAATCCAAAAGGATAAAAAATCATTTGGGATGAAAAGCAGTGCAAAGATCAAGAATTTTGATGGCAAACTTGAAAGACACACAAGTTCAAAGTGGCACGAGAAGAGATAGATCTTTTTTCCTGTTTCCCAGAAAAGTAATGAAAGATTGGAGACAAAAAATTGTGAAAGAGGTTTCCTTAGTACATAATGGCAGAAGCTATTGGTAATTAAATTTCATGAAATACTTAGTATTAAGTATGAATAATTTTCATGCAGTTCAAGTATGGATAATATTTTTGAGTTGTATAACGTTCATAGAGAAGTTTGGGATCCTTGGTGCCAATTTGTAAAGTTCATTACTATTTCCTAGAATGGACAGCTTTTGTCACAATGTTTAAATATGTAGTACAGAGAACATAGAATATGATCAAAATTGAGTTTGCATAGAGGAAGCTCTGTGATCTTGGTTTTGCTTATGGCTTCAAGCTTTATGGAATATGTATTCTTTTAGTTTATTTTTCCTTTCTGTGGAGTGCCTGTACATATTCTAATGTTATGTCTGGTGGTATTGGCATTTTCATTTGAAAGATGTCGGAGTGACTTTTGAAGCTGCAGGAAAAAAATCGGTGATAAAATTGATACCATTATTTGGAGGGAACATCTTGATGCAAAGGAATGTCTGCCTAACAGGCAATTGAGCAGCTACTATTAAGTGCCCATTCCCCTCTGTTCAATTACTACCTAGGGATTAGGTTATTTGTTCTATGTATCATATATAATTTACCTGTTACTTTTGCACTCATGTCAGTATATTATTTGTAGCATCGGATAAAAGCAGCCTCTCGCGTAATAATGTTTTTTTTAATATTCTTATTACTGAAGGTGATGCAAATCTAGAAAGCACAGATATAGATACGAGATATGAGTATGATACGATTCAGATATGGTGATATGATAAAACCTAAAAAAAAAGATACGGATATGATTAGGATATGTCTATAATTACTATTATTTAACAACTTAAAAATTATATTTTTTAGTAATTCTTTAGCAATAGTAAACAATATTAGCAATTTTAATCTTGAAAAAAGTGTAATATCGTCTTATTATTATATATCTATGAAGTGAGCGTGACCAATTAAAGGAATTAGAACCAATATTTAACTAGTTGGATTGATTACAAGTATTTATTTCTAAGGTTATAGTGTGATTAACTTAGTTTTTATACTCTTTTGACATATAATAGTAGATAATACTTAAAAAACACTCGTATCTTCAAAGTCAAATCGAATTTTGTTGATATTTTGTATTGTATGTAAATTCGAAAGGAAAGGGTATAGATTAAAAGTAAAAATTGTACTTCTTGCTCCATGTGTAGAAGTATTCGTGAAGTATTACATATTTTGTTAATTATTGGATACGTATGATGTGGTGCATATTGGAAGAATATCTTATCAGGTAGGTCGACCTTGATGAAGTATTCGTACTTCGGGCATTAAAATGAGATCTTAGATGTAAACTTTGGTAGCATAGATAGGGAAAGTGTCCGAGTTCTTATATGAATATCTGATGTGGCTAGTTCTTTTTCCCATTTACTTCCTTGTGGCCTTTATTATATGTTAACAATTATCTTTCTTTCCAGATCCTGTTTCACTTGTTCGTGATCACAATATCAAACAAAAACTAGAGGATCTTGGTATTTCTGTGAAAAACTATAATGGAGAGTTGTTGTATGAACCATGGGAAGTATATAATGACAAAGGCCATGCTTTTACAACCTTTGATGCATACTGGGACAAGTGCTTGCACATGCAAAGAGAAAATGTTTCTCATCTTCCTCCATGGCGATTGGCGCCAGCTGCAGGTAAGTTTTAGCTGTCAACGAGGATAACAAATCTGTGTTTCATTAATACTACAAATGAGAGTTGATTTGGATCTTACTTTACACATAAAAGGGCATTAGATTATGTGACAAACCCTCATCAGGTTTCTATAATGTTGGAGTCTTGGACCATATCTTGCTGGCAAAAGTATGTTCATGGGCCTCATGATTATAGAGTTGGTGTCTCTAACAAAACACAGGAAAGAAAGAAGAAAACAGAGAAGAAAGAAAAGCAAAGAAAGGCATTGAACAGTTGATTCTTATTTTGTCTGTGCTTATGACAGGATCAGTTGAAAGTTGTTTGATTGAGGAACTGGGTCTTGAAGATGAATCAGAAAAACCTAGCAATGCTTTACTAGGAAGAGGATGGTCACCGGGTTGGACCAATGCTGATAAGGTCCTAAATGAATTCTTAGAACACCATCTGCTTGATTACTCGAAGGATAGGTTAAGAGTTGCAGGGAACTCCACATCACTTTTGTCCCCATATCTTCATTTTGGAGAATTGAGTGTGAGGAAAGTCTTCCATTGTGTGTTAATGAAGCAGATACTCTGGGTAAAAGAAGGGAACACTGTTGGAGAAGAGAGTGTTACTCTTTTTCTTAGGGCTATTGGGTTTAGAGAATATTCCCGTTACATATGTTTTAACTTCCCATTTACTCACGAAAGATCATTGCTGAGCAACCTAAAATATTTCCCTTGGCATGCTGATCAGGCCCATTTTAAGGTTTGGAGACAGGGTCGGACTGGTTACCCCTTGGTTGATGCAGGAATGAGAGAGCTTTGGGCAACTGGATGGATACACAATAGGATAAGAGTGATTGTCTCGAGTTTCTGTGTGAAGTTTTTTCTTCTTCCATGGCAATGGGGGATGAAGTACTTCTGGGATACACTTCTAGATGCAGATTTGGAAAGTGACATCCTTGGTTGGCAGTATATCTCAGGGAGCTTGCCAGATGGACACGAGCTTGAACGGTTAGATAGCCCACAGGTATGCTTGGGACCATGTTTTCAAAGCATTTGCTTGTTTTACTTCTCAACAAAAGGACCTTTCATCTTGTCTTTTTGAATCAAAATTTGCTACGCGAAATTAGCATGAATTTTAATTGCAAAGTATCCAATGTGCTAAAGATATAAAGCAGTCATAGCATATTAGCATGGTTTAAGGAGTGTTATTTACCATTTTCTTCATAATCTTTAAGGATTATTAATTTCCATTAAGGTAATTTCTTTAAGTTGAGCAGCGTTTGGGAGTTTGTGAAAATGGAACCCAGTAAGCCACTTTGTTTTGTCTCCATATCCCACTAGATAATGATATGCGTTGACATTGTATGGGAATTGTTTTTTTTATGTGGTTTGGCTTTTGATATATAGACATGATCGTAGTAGCCAAATTTGGAAATGCGGCCTACAAGACACCCTTAAGAAAATTAATAACTATTTTTGAAAGAAACCAGTATCAGATGACCGTCACTCTCTATAAGACATGAAACACATTCAAAATGTGAAATGCTGGCAAGCAGTATTAGTACTTGTAAATAAAATTCATTTCTTTTAACCCTTGAAAAGTTTTTATGCTTGTTATGAACTAAAAATATAGCAAATATGGTGTAAAAGAAATAATTTTTTTTTCAGCACAAGGCCGAATTCCCCTTCAAAAAGTTATTAATTTTGATCATAGACACAAAGGTTAGGAATCAATTAGCTGAGTGATCCTCCATTTCAACCTAAAATTTATTTTTTCCCCTTAAACTGCTGAGATTCAGGTTCAGGGATTCAACTTCGATCCGGAGGGTGAATATGTGAGGCACTGGCTGCCAGAGTTAGCAAGAATGCCAGCTCAGTGGATACATCATCCTTGGGATGCGCCTCTAACTGTGCTGAAATCTGCGGGGGTGGAGTTGGGAGTAAACTATCCAAAGCCTATTATTGATATAGATTTAGCTAGGGACCGTTTAACTGAAGCGATACATATCACGAGGGAAAGAGAAATGGCTGCAAGGGCAACAACATCTAATGGGACTAATGAAGAAGTTTTCGATAACTCTGACACTGTTGAAAACTTGGCCATTCCAAAAGTGGTTTTAAAGGAAAAGATTCTTTACCCTAGTAGTTCATCCCATGATCAGAGGGTGCCCTCAATGCAAATTTCCAAGAACGGTTTGCTCAACAGGAAGAGACCAAAACCTGTGGAAGATGAAAGGCCACCACAGGGTAACTTGATTAATGGCAACAACACATGTAGGACCTTGAAAATGGATGATGATTTGTGCTCCACGGCTGAATCCTCTTCAGCTAAAAAGCAGACTACCTGCAGCAGAAACTCGTTTTCTGTTCCTCAATCCTGTTCTTTACTGTCAACCAGCAAGCCTTCTAAGGATTGTGAATCGTCAGAACTCCAGCAGTCACGGCAAGGTTAACATGGAAAATAACTCAAGCGGAAATGGTAAGTTGAGTGCTATAGTTTCGGATTTAGCTCAAATTATCTGATCATCTCAATATGACTTGCTTCATGCTACATGGTTCTGAATCCATGTTGGATCTTTTTTTGCTTCTTGACTATTATGCGTGAACGAATTTATCTGAAAGCTTGAGTCTCATTCAGATATGGATACCAGACTAGATGTTAGTGCATTGTGGGTCTTTGCTTTGTTTATTTCTTTAATTTTCTAAAAGGTTCTTCTACCTATTTTAATCTGAGGGGGAATGAACTGAAGCCACAGCCCACTTCACGTATTTGCATGTTGTTTAGCAAGTCCTATCTGGAGGACAACTATGGAACTTTTGAGTCTGCTCAGAGGTTTAGGAGAACTAGCTGAACTAGAATTCAGAATTCAAACAGAAATGGAGGTGGTTTAGTTCATAATCGTACTTAAATGTACTTCTGGTGCATAAAGTTTACTTCCATTGGGCAGTTGCTGCCTCAAACAGCATGAATAGTTGAAAGTGAAGCGCCATCTTGCTTTCAGGGAATTTGAGTTGCCAAAAGCATGTCTAAAGTTATATAAAGTTTATCCATCTGAAGCACGGTTGAAATAGCTAGTGACAGAAAAAAGACCAATTTTTATTTTTTATTTTCACTGGAAAATTTGCTGAGATTTTGGGATTATGAAAAGGTTTGGTATCAATATTTTTAGGGGAATTAACACCTTTGTGTGAGAGATTAATACGGCATCTTACCCAGATTCCATTACTTGTGGTGTTTCTATGCACTTTGTATTGTAGCATTGACAGTCGGGGCTGAAGAGATTGTATTGGTTAATTTGAATTCTGGTTCAACTACTTGGCACCCAATATTTTGGAGATATGAAGTCTTCCAAATTCGAGAAACATGTCATACCATGTTGATCGATGTCATGTTTAATGTTGCGCTGTTTTTCCTTTTCTTCCTATTTGTCCTTTTTCCTTATGTCAATGTTTTCATAATTTCTTTTGCATATGCAGGAGCTATGGGAAGTTGATGCCACAGCATTTTGAATTCCTCAGGCAACTGTTATTGTCCACGGACAAGAACTTTACTTCACAAATGAATAATGCATGTAATCATGATGTACGTCAGTATGTTCTACGGATGTATTCCTCTCTCTCTCTCTCTCTCTCTCTCTCTCTCTCTCTCCATAAGGAAACACCATAAACCTCTAAAGACAAGTGACAATATGGAAACTCATGCAATCTTGTATACTGGCAAAAGTGGCATCACTGATTTTTTCGTAGTGTAATGATCATGCAATTAGTAAAACATGGTGTTATTGTTCAATAATTGGGCAACTTTCTGCACCTTGAATATATTGTTATTGGATGGTGATACCTAAGAGTGTAACTAGACAAATTGAACTGGTTGAAAATTAAGGTTCAACCTAAGCTACAAAACCCTCAGCTGAATGAATTCAGCTCAAAACCTTCAACAAGAGTATTGCTCATAGCCATACAAAGTGTGATTCCCTCATACGGAGTTAACAAGTTTGGGTTTAGCTTGTTGGAGAGATAAACGAGTGGATCCGTACACAACTTGTAAGCAAATTTATTGACTGAATAATATGGTAAGTGATAGAGTTGTAATGAAAATCATCGACAATTTATTTACTTTGCAACCCATCAGGGTGAGTGGATTAAAGCTTCAACCAGTTGTTCGTGTTTAGTTTCCCATGGTGAATGTAATCCAGGACGAGTAGATTCTTTTTTTTTTTTTTGTTTAACAGTGAGACATGTTCGAGTTAGTTTATGCATATCTCAACTAATCTTTTCGTTAAAGGTAGGACATTCACTCAAGAATTAGAGATTCATGAGAGATAAAACCCCTCATGTCCTGACATTAAGAAACTGTCAAGATTGATATTAAGAAACTGTCAAGATTGAAACTCAGTACGTTTGAATTTACAACTTATCTCAAAAACCACTTGAGCTAACTTGGTAGAAAGAAGAATTAATGATCTTCAATAGAAAACTGGAAAAAAAAAAATACACAGCCACCATTGAAAAGTGACCAGTTGCATCTGGGATCATTGAAGAAGATAAGATCTCCACAAAATGCCGGGGGATGAATCCTAACCATTGTTGGCAGTCAACTCTGGCTACCTGGTTTATGGAAGAGTTTGGGCAATTTAGTCATTTATTGCTAAGATATTTGGAGGAAAACAGCATTTGAGCATACCCAGTTTCATTACTGCCGCATGAGATACTCCTTCTGTTAACTTGGATGGAATTCCTAACTTTGAACTTTAGTCCACTAAATACATGACGGTTATGTGAAGGTTTATAAATGATAAGAAGATAAAGTGAATTTGGGACATAACACATGGAGAGGTAAAGTAAAGTTGGTGCTAGATTGATTATTAGCATGTCATAAACAATGAAAACTAAGAGGAAGTCTTTTCCTATTTTGCGCGTAAACTGATTCAAACATCATTGATCATTGAATCAAAAAAAAAAAAAAAAAATCTTCCCCTACTTTGTAGGAGATACATCTTATAGTTGTTTTATCACCATAATCACTAAATGCATGGATCATGAATTTGGTTGGATCAGATTTGATTGAATTTTTTATATTGGATAAACATCAAAATTTGGCCAATCAAGTGGGGTCGGCATAGTTTGTAATTTGATTTTCTTAGGGATTTGAAATAAATTGGATAAGAGGTAGTCAGTGGAAATCTCGTTGTTATTATGATTGTTGATTGCCTATCAAATATTACATATAAGATTATAAAGGCAATTGAAATATGAGTATTTTGTTTGTTTTTTTGAAAATGAATTACTCATTCCTAATTAGGGTTACTATCATCCAAACACGACATTCACGTCTTCGATACGCCAAAAGGGAATTTGGTCCCCATAGTTAAGAAATGCATATCAGTGATAAAATTGATCCCACCCCTTATCCCGCTATCCAAACACCTAATAGTGAAGCCAGTGGGTCCCTTCCCTCAGAGTTTGCGAAACCCCTGATGTTGCATTCCTTCATAATGTTTGTTGACAGATGCATTCCTTCTAACTTTACCACTTCCAACCACTCAAAATTCAACATAATGTCTACAATAAATATCAAGATAACAACAATTGAGACAGCCAAAATCACTTTCTCTATTAGTACACTATGAAATAATAAACACAGCAGTTTTCCCTTTGCACTCTTCATTGATTGTTGATTACAAAGAGCAACTTTCAAAATCTATCATAGCTATATATAAACACAGACCAGATTTTAATATAGAAAAGCATAGTCCTGAGGGACTTATTGCAATCTAAGATAGTTTTCTGATATATTAAGAAAATAATTAAACTGGAACTGTCCTAATAATATCATGACCACCAGCCTGTGGCCTTATCTCTGTTGCTGATTCACTTTCTTCCTCATTCTCTTGTGAAATTTCTTCCAATGATTTTCCCTTTGATTCAGGGACCAAGAAAGTGAACACCATACCAAAGAAGTTGATGCAACCCAAAACAATGAGTGAATTCTTCATACCAATGCCCGGTGGATAGCCAGCGTCAGTCTTTTTGGGGTCCGTGCTTTGAGAAGCATATAAAAACCCGAACGCCCCGACAATGGCTCCAGCCTTCCCAGTGGCTGCTGATATTCCATGGCATGTTGACCTCAGCCTTGCTGGGAAAATCTCAGCTGGAACAATAAAAGTTGTGGCGTTTGGACCGAAATTGGCAAAGAAGAAGGTTAATGAGTACATAACCACAAACCCAATTCTGTTGTCTTTATGAGTCCAGTGATCATAAGGAATGGCCAAGGCAAACATGAACACTGTCATGAAGAAGAAGCCCATTAATTGAATTGCAAATCGCCCGATTTTATCAATTAATGCCACAGTAAACCAGTATCCAGGAATGGCACTGCAGAGAGCTATGAGAGTTTGGGCCCTGGCGATTTGGTAAACCTCTTCATTGGCGTTCATCGTTTCGGCTTGAGGAATCCACCCAACTGCACTGAAAATGTCCTTTTGGAACAGGTTTTGGCTATAGAAAGCAATGTCCAATAAGAACCATGTACTAGTGGTTCCAAGCAAGTGAAGCCCATGGCGTCGCAAAAACTCCTTCGAAAACAACCCAAAATCGTTTCCTCTTCTCTTCTCAGTTATTTCCTGTTCTACTTCTAATTCAACTTGAAGCACTTTGGACATATCGGCAGCGGCCTGTTTAGCATTCTTGGCCACTAAGGCGGTGTAACGGGCTGTTTCAGGCATCTTCATCCGCCAGTAGTACGTTAGTGCGGCGGGGATGGCACCAAATATCACAATTATCCGCCAAACATAGTCAGCTTGGGGGACGGTAGAGCCAAGAGGATCTTCGGAATAAGGCTTGGCAGGATAAGCGGCGTTAAAAGCAGCAGAGACTATAATTGCCACAATTCCACCCGCCAAAATTCCAAAACCTTGCATGGCAAACACGGCCGCGATGAACGCTCCACGAGTCTTTTTATTAGCATACTCGGACATGATGGTGGCGGAAAGCGGGTAATCGCCGCCAATGCCGAACCCGAGCCAGAATCGAAAGAAGCAAAGTGTGGCCAAAACAGCCGCAGGATCTTTGCCAAATGAGAGGCCAGAGGCAATTGAGCAAATGACCATGAGCATAAGGGTCATGCCATAGACTTTTTTGCGGCCCATTTTGTCTCCGAGCCACCCGAAAAAGAGTTGGCCCGCAAACGTGCCACAAAGGGCGACGCCATTGGCCGCTGCCGCCACGTTTGGTGGCAAACTGCCCGGTTTGGCTGCACCATCAACATGATAGTATATGCGGCCGAGCACTTTGGTGACAAGAGAGATACAGAAGATATCATAGGCATCGGTGAAGAAGCCCATGCCAGCAATTATAATTGCAGTGAAATGGTACCATTGTGTTTTGGCCACATCAAGTGCATTAAGCACTTGGAGTTGTTCTTTTGCCTGACCACCTCTTCTCCAAAGCTTTTTCACTGTCCTACTTGTAGTTGCTATGTCCTGTGAACAAGACAAGGGAGATATATCAATCTATATCTATACTACTTTAAAATGTCTATATACTTGAAAAATATTTATTTTTCTTTTTTACCCCCAAACAATAGTATTAGGACCTTTTATCATATTATTAAAAGGTGATAAAAACATGTGATTTTCAATAATAACTTTTAAAAATATATAATGACAGCATTAAATTAAACTTTTCATATTCTCCATTCAATCACAATGGTGAAGAGAACTTTTGGACTTCTACATCAATAGATGGTGTTGCTGATTGGCTCTAATGTTCATATATCTATCTATGTCTATATTTATATCTATATCTATTTATTTATCTATCTATACTACTTTAAAATGTCACTATATTTGAAAAATATTTTTTTTTAATTGTACCATCCAACAATGAAAGTATTACATTCTTATCTTTTATTAATGTTTAATCTTTTTTTAATGATAATCTAAAATCAAGTTTAACCGTTCAAATTGTTAAACCCTACAAGTTCTGCAATAAGTATTCAAAGGATTGAATAATAATAAATACATCAATTGCTAAATTAATTACCCTACTTAATTACTAACAATATGATTAGTCATTTTAATTCCTCTAAAATTTCCAAATTTTCACTTTCTTGTATCCATATATTAGAAATCTCATTTTGTTTCTGATATCTATTTAGAGTATATGGTCAATTTACTTTTTAATTATGTGTTGTGAATTAATTTCAATTGATTCTTTAAATAAAGAAGATTTGGTTTGCTGATTGAAGTTTATTCAAAGAGAATGGAAAGTGGCTTCGACAACCACATAGTCTTAGATTCAATCATGGACGAATCTCTGATGGAGAGAGAAGCTGGTTATTTCGGATATCTATCTCATCATAACTATGTAGTTTGATTATAAACCAATTCTTTTTTCTTATTTCTGCGTATTTTAACTTTCAAATTCAAGTTTCTTATAATTGGGTTTTTTTTTTAATTTGTGATATTATGAATTTTTATGAACTTTCAAATTCAAAATGAGACTCAAGATCAGAGTACCTTATTGTGATGAGATATTCACATGCAAACATTATAACATAATGAATTTAAGGTTAAGTTCTTCTCCCTTTTTTTTTTGTTCTGGAGTTAACAAAATTTCTTTTTATGTTATTTTCCTCTTTATACGATTGTCATATTTAGTGGTGCATTACATTTGATTTTGTTTGGATAAAATATCTAATTTTATTTAGCATTAAACAGAAATCACTATAGATAACTAAACCTCAATAGATAATACTACCAAAAACGCACCTCTTTGTCTTCTCTATCTTTATTTTTTATTATTGAAAATGCACCCCTTCATGTCTCTCTATCATCTATTTAACAGTCAGCTATCATCTACTTAACAACATATATGAAAAATGTGACAAGATTTTTAGTTACTCTCAATACAATGATGTAGGTTTGACAATGGAAGGCTATAGAAGAATCCTGAAATGATCTATGTGCAACGCATATGTGCACCAACTAATACCAAATAAAGTATAAAGTACAAATAACCCCGAACAAGATAATTTAATTTTTTGGTTTTAATTGGCAGTGAGAAGTAGTCACTAACATGGAAATGTAGGCTCTGATTATAATGTCCTTTACTTGATAAAAAAAATGATTTTTTGTATATAAAAAAGACGAAATTTTTGTATACAAAATAAATTTCTACATCATCTAAATATAGACCACAATAATCTATGGCTTTTCCAAAGTGATTTTTTGACCTTTATAGAATATGAAATAAAATTAGCCACCTATTACATTTTATTATTTTGTTGCCTAAATATTGCTTCAAAATACTTGTGTATAACTGTGGGCTATAATATGAAAATAATTGTTTAGAAAAATAAAAATCAAGACTATAATTCACAATATTGATTTACGTGTAACACAGGTGTGCACCAACTAGTAAACTACAAAAGTTAGTAAATTTTAATTAACTATGACACAAATCCGATTATTTACAATACAAATATGACTAAACTTTAATATGAGGCAAATTTGATTATACTTGATCATAGTTTAGATATAAATTGAACAAATTTTAATACATATTAAAAAAATAAGACATGACATGACTATTTACAGTCCTATATTATACCAGTAGGAAATATTTATAAACAGAAACAGGTACTCGATGATTCAGGACTAGTTGATTTTTTAATCAATAATACTTGTCAAAAAGAGACAAGACAAGTTTTTCCACAGCTTTGACACCTCTCTTGCATACATGACTATTCGAAGCTGGGGGACCAAATGCTGTGACCTTTTATGGTTATGACGTATTGACCATGGTGGGCTATTTCGATTCAGAAATCTCATTTTTCACTCTATTCAATTTTTTATTATTAAACTATTAACTCTATCTCTTCTATATTCATCCTACTAATAATTAAGTCTATCTTATGCTATATATACCTTTTTTAATAAGTAAACCCACTTTATATTTTATCATAATTAAGATTTTATTCTCTATTTATTTTCATGCATTCACAAAATACTTTTTCAATATGAATCTTTTCAGTGAGATACATGTTAGTAGTACTTCTCAATTTAATTGTATGTTTGATTTTATGTTTGTTATATGAATTTTTATTATTTTCGGTATGTTTTGATATATTTGTCAAGTTTAATAATTTTTTATTTAGAACTTATATGTATGTTTATATATGTATACTTTTCAGATTATTTGTTCTTTTTTTTTTTATCTTATTAAAGTTTTACATCTATACTTGTTATTTTTTTCTTGTTCGATTTTATGTCTATGCTTGATGCTTTTTTTTTTCATACTCGGTTTGCGTTGTAGTTTTGCTTGATTTTTTTTCCTTCTCGTTTCGATTTGTTTGTTTCTTTCATTCTTTTCTTTCTTCTTGTTTTGGTCTACTTCTTTTTTTCTTTTTTTTTTCCTTGTTTCGCTCTTTTATTTTTTCTTGTTTTAGCATATTTGATTTTTTTTTATTTACTTCGTTTTTGATTTTTTTTTTCTTGTTTTAGCATATATTTATGCATTCAAATTAATTGTCTTTTTAAAAAAAATTTTTTTTTAGATGACTCCTTTCATTATTTTTTTCTTACGATAACTTCTTTCATTAAAGGGGTGTACATAGAATGACTGAGCTTAATTATTAATGAGATGTATGTAGTATGAGATGAGTTTAGTTACTGATGGGGTGGGGTATAGAAGGGGTAGGTTTAATAGTTTGAAAAATTAAATGGGGTGGGAATGGATATTTATTGTGGTGGTGAGAATAGTCATCCCCAATAAATATGGCAACTTAAAGTAACTTTTAATATTACAAAATAGCCTAGCTCTTTTTTTTTTTGTTACGAGAATCATTCCAATGAAAATCTTGAATAATATGTATATTTTGAGTTTATGTGATTATACATATATGTATTTTTGAGTTTATTCTGATTATATAACTTTGAACTCAGAACGTGCAAGATACATTTGTTTGTTTATTTGGCCATTATACCGACGCAGTTTAGGATGATAGAATTTTGGGACTAAACAAATAAATAAACTATCATAAGCAAAATTAAATACTGTATACATTTGTTTTTGAAATAATAGAAAATATAGATACATAGAGATTCCAATTGGTGGACCATTTTGTGGTTTTTTTTTTTTGGATAAATTGCATCAATGGTCCCTGAGGTTTAATGTTAGTTGCACTTTGATCTTCAAAGTTTTAATTTCATCATTTTGATCCTCAATGTTCACACATTCATCTAATGTCATCCTTCATACTAACTTTTGCCCAAAAACGTGACGAAAAATATCATGTGTTTGGCACATGAGGGTATTGACAGGTATTTTTGTCATTACTCTCAAAACATTGGTCACGAATTTTGCCATCCTCTCTTATTCTCTACCTCCAATTCGCCTGTGCTTCCCATGCCCCAAACGCCAGAAATCCCTCCGTTTCTTTCTCTCTATCTCTCTCCAATTCCTACTTCTCTCCCCAAACCCAACCTATCCTCTCTATTCCAAGCCCTAGTATATAAACAGAACAAAACCATAAAAATGCACCCACAACACAAACGCTCAAATCCATATATGCACAACATGACCTCCATAATTGGAGTAATGAAGAATTAGGCTTGAGTTGGATGTTCGCAATTGTGATTCCCTTTCGTTTTTTTATCTCTCTCTCTCTCTCCTTCAGTCTTTGAAATTGGTATGATTTGTTGAGATTTTGTGTTTGTTTTTAGTGGTGTAGGTTGCAGTGGTAGGGTTTGGGTGTGTAGGCGGATATGGTGGTGATGGTTGGCTTACTGGTAACAAAGGAGAGAAGGTGTTTGTTTCACAACTAGCTAATTGAGTATGTTTGCGGTTGAGGTGGTGGTGAACGAATTTTGGATGGTGACGGGGACCTGGGGATGGCAGTGGACCGGGGAAAAATGAGTATTTGTTCAAATCCGTCTTGTTTGGATTGGAGATGGACTATACATATTGAACGGTGGACGTATACGAGAATACCCGTATAAACCATTACGGGGATGAAGGCGGGGATGGATTTACCCTTACTTTTGCTCCGCCCCCGCTACCCGTTATATATATATATATATATATATATATATATATATATATATATAAATTTTGATAAATTCTCTAGCTACAATGTTTTATGGGTGATCCACATGACATGGTGTCTAGTGAGCATTAAAAATGTTCTCTTGAATTTTATTGAATCTAAATCTAATTAGTTTGATGTGGATTTTAACCGTAATTGAATATCAAATTCAAAATTTAATTTCTATATAAATATATGTGATTATTTATCCTGCATAGAACTGGGGAATTTGTTCGTTTGTAAGCAGAAAGGCAAATCTATTATGTCTTGATCCTTGCTAAAGTTAAATTCTCAGCTTGATTCTTACCTCTTAGCTGTCCTGCAGTATACTTAGAACTTAAGTGGTTTTGCTTTTTTTTTTGCTACACACTGATACTAGGTTTTAAAGTGGATTATTTAAAATGTTAGATTTATTTAGAATTTTGGATTATGTTGGCTTGAGTTTGGGTTTAGGTTTGGGCTTGGATTTGGGAAGCGGGGACGGGGACGGGGGGATTAAAAATTTATCCACAAACGGGAATAGGGATGAAAACTATACACGATAACGGGGTGGACCGGAGATGAACAAAATTTTTTTAAACGGGTACGGAGATGGGGACTACACCACCTGCCCCCGCTTTGGTTCACTGACATCTAATGGAGGTGGTGGCAGCCGACAATGGAGAGTTACCGAAGGCGGAGAAGGGTGGGGATATATGCTTGGGCAAGGCTTTTGAGGTCCGAGGGAAGAGTGAACGAGAGAGAGAGAGAAGAGCAACCAAGCTTTTTTCTTCAATTTTACCATTTCTTCCCAAAAAAAAAAAGAATTTTACCCTATGTTTGTCTATAAAATACCAAAAACATCCTTAAAGAGATGCACGTGACACACAGATGATAGTTTCTGTTTGTTTTTTGAACGGCAGTTAGTGCTAAAGACCACAATGACTCAATATTTGAACTATGGGGTCAAAATTAACGAAATTGAAACATTTAGGACCGAAGTGTGATAAGTGATAAACTTCAAGCACTATTTGTGCAATTTATCCTCACTTTTTTTTTAAACAAGGGCTCCTAAAATTTGGAGTTATGTGTGAATGTCTAGAAGTTTTGGTCTCTACTCAGTCCTCCTGTATTATTACAAGGACGCGGTTTGAACTAGGGGGTCAATCAAATATTTTCGTGTGACCTATGTGTCACGGTATTCGTGTCGTATCATTGTTATTTCAATGTTTGTGTCAAGATCCACGAAAAAAAATTTATTTAGTGTGTTATGAGTATCAAATATTAGTTTAGACTATTTATTATATGTATTTAATAATCATAACAATTATATAATCGTTCGTGTTGAATTTGTATTAACAGGTCAGAGTTGACACCCATAATTTGAATCACGGTCTTAAAATCTAATAATAGAAGCGATAGTCGTTAGATCAACCGCTAGCCACGTTCAACCCACTGTTAAGCTATTATTTTTCCATCAAACTCTTCAAAAAAAAATTTTTCCCGTTTTGTTCTCTGCCCGGCCAAGATTTTCAGAGTTCTTTAGTGAAAAAGGTAACTTCGTAATTTTAGAAAAATTACCAATAATATTTTAAAATCCAACCGAAAAGATAGAGGAGACTTTTCCACCAACCAAACAAACAAAAACATGTGAACTACATGGTGTATGGCTTGGTATAGGGGTGTAATTTTCGACGCGATACGATAATACGACACGAATTAAATACAAAATTAATAGGTCGGACATAAAATTAAACAAGTTAATATGTTAAAACGGATCAACACGCTTAAATACCAAAAAAAAATCATATTGGGTTCATGTCAAAATCAAATCAGCCCGATTTTGACATAATTAACTCGTATATTTTAAATGGGTTGATATGATTCGGACACAAACCCGACCTATCCTATTGTAGACCCATTTAATCCGTTTATGACAGTATAATTTGTTTATTATGTATGACTGATGTGGTCTTAATATTATTACTTATTAATTCTTACTTATACTATGATAATTGACAGTATAATTCTTAACATTATTATGACAGTATACTAGTATAGTTCTTACTTTAATTTTTAGGTTAAAACTTAAATGCATTTTAGTTAATTTTATTGATGAGATGTGATATGTTAAGTTCCAATGTTTGATGGGGTCGATAGTAAATCCAAATATCATAGTGAATTAAGTCAGTAAACTAAATCCTAATAGTATTGCTCGTAAAAAAATTATTTCAAATTTTAGATGAATTATTGAATGATGTATTTAATAGTAATAAACTGGTGTAAAAATATATTATGTGTCTTAACTCAAAAACGACCTGTTTATTAAACGTGTCAAACAAGTCTGGTTCGAGTAATCTGTTTAATGACCAGGTCAGATTAGTATTTACATATCTCGACACGATTATTAAACATGTTAAGTTTGAATTTTAAAATTTTTGATAAAAACTTGAAATCAATCTGACACAAAATGACTCAATCTAACACGTTTGAACACCCCCCCTTACTTGGTAGGCAATTTAAGACTCATGAAAAGAGAAAGTTTACCACCCCGAACTGAATATGTGTACGTGTGAGAGGGAGAGAGAGAGAGAGATGAGATATCCAATTTGTAATTGAGATTTAATCATGAAATTGGATTTTGATCACTCTTTACTCATTCTTTAATCCCTTGTTTCCAGCGTTCAAAACAGTGTCCTTTTGTTTCTCTCCTTTGGAAATTTAGGTTATTAATGAAGACACTTTGGTTCATGGGTCGCAATTCACGACTCTCTCTCACTCTCTCTCTGACACACACATAGCAATTCGTTTCCTTTTAAGGCCAAAACAATCAATCTAAACATGTCATAAACATACACACAGATACCGAGAGAATGTACAGAGAGACATATATACAACATTTTAGGGGTAGGAAACAAAAAAATAAAAGAAATTATACCCAAAAAACAGAAAAAAGAAAGTAGAAATATCTTCCAAGAACGAACTATATCACCTTAGCTGGTTCGTTGAGCTACCCTTTTTCCAAAACTTTCAGAGATTTGCAAAAACTATGGTCACAAACAAAGAATATGTAACCACTGAAATGAAAGACAGAGGGGTGGTTCGTATTTAATGCCATCGGAGTCTCTCGTTCATGGTATCGGGCCGAGGATATTCGACTTCTATTCTCCGCAAGTTTTTCTATTCAACGATTCTGGTTCTGCCATTCCATCATTCGGTCCACGTACGAAAGGCTACTCTGACGTGGCAAGAGCTGGGTTTGTTAGTTAATCGTCTTTTACACTACCACATGTTGGTCAACGGTCTACTTTGTTGACACGTGTCTCATTTTTCCAACTTAACTTCTATCGACTGTTCTGTCAAACGAGAAGCGATGGATTTAGTTGGCGAAAAATTTAATACGAATGATTTTGAAAGTGATATTGGTGACAGTTAAATGTGTTTATTTGAAAGTGATATTGGTGACAGTTAAATGTGTTTATTTGAGATTGTCAGATGGATTGAGTGAAATCTGTCTTATTTTATATTATAGATTTAACACAAATAAAAATAATATTTTATAATTTTTAATCTTCTTACAAATTTTATATTTTACTTATTTTTTGACTATATATTTCATAATTTTTGAACCAAAGGAGGCTCCAATAAATTGTACCAATACTCTAAAAAATTAATTTTAATTTGTTAATTTTAAGAGATTTAGTATGAATCTTTTTTTTTGTTCTAGTACCCAACTTGTTTGATCCAATTAATTTTATTTTTTATAAATCATTATAGTGGACCCAATTAAGAATATATAACTAAAAGAAAAAATTTAGGGTGGCCTCATGACCCTCCTCCCTCCGCCACTGTCAGAGAGAGAGAGAGAGAAGGAGTGTGAAGAGTAAGAAAAAGAAGGTAAAATTTAATCTGAATGATTTTGAGAGAGATGTTGATGGTCATTGAATGAGTTTATTTGACACCGTAAGGCTAGATTGTGAGAGTCTTCACCCTTTTTTCTCCAAGAATTTCGAGCATCCTTATCTCTTCATAGATTCTCACGGTTGTTAGACATGCCAAGCTGTGATATGTTGCTAATACCCTCCAGCAAACTTTACCAGTGCTGGAGCCAAAGTTTGTTGCGAAAATAATGAAGGGCTGCTTTTGACATTGGTTTTGTGAAGATGTCAGCAACTTGATTATTAGAGGAAATATGTTGAGTAACAAGTAGTCCACGTGCAATGCGTTCGTGCACAAAATGATAATCCAACCCGATATGTTTGCTTCGTGCATGGAATACAAGATTTACTGTCATATGAAGAGCACTAAGGTTGTTGCAATAGAGTATGGGAGGAGACGACATTGTAATTCGAAGATCTTTGAGAATGAAAGACATCCATGTGAGTTCAGCCGTTGTATTTGCCATTGCGTGGTATTTTGCTTTCGTGCTTGATTGAAAAATTGTATGTTGTTTTTTTTTGCACACCAAGAGATAATATTTTGTCCAAGGAATGTACAATAGCCAATAGTTGAGCGCCTTGTTGTAGTGCACCTTGCCCAATCTGCATCTGAGAAAGCAAATAGATCAAGTGTAGTGTGTGAACAAAAATGTAATCTCATTTCAATTGTTCCTTTGACATATCATAAAATACGTCGAACCATTTTTAAATGTGTCATTGTGGGAACATGCATGAATTGAGATACATAATTAACACTATACAAAAGACTAGGGTGAGTGAGTATAAGGTACTGTAGAGCTCCAACAAGTCCTCGTTAGTAACTTGGATCTTCCAAAAGAATATCATTGGAAGATGTTTTCATTTTAGCTTCAAGAGGTGTACTCATAGGCTTACAATCAACCATATTGGAGCGTTCGAGTATGGTCAATGCATAGTGTGACTGGGATAGATGAAGACCACTTGTTGTTGGCGTGATTTCCATTCCAAGAAAGTGATGAATTCGAATAGGCCCCAAATCTTTCATTGCAAACTCACTGCTTAGTATCTGAATAAAATCTGAAACAAGTATTGGAGTTGATCCAGTGAGCAACATGCCATCTACATAAATAAGTAAAATTAATGAGCCATAATCCGAATGAAAAACAAACAATGAAAGGTTAGCTAGACTACAAAAGAAACCATATTTAAGAAGAAATGCATTAAATCGATCAAACCAAGCACGTGGTTCTTGTTTTAGGCCATAAAGCGCTCTTTGTAGTTTGAAAACATGTGTCAGATGCTAAGGATCTGCCATTCCTGGTGGTTGTTGCATGTAAAGATCTTCAGAAATTAAACCATGCAATAAGGCATTTTTCACATCTAGTTGACAAATGGACCACTTTTGAACATGAGCTATGGTGATTATCATGCATATTGTCCCTAGTTTAATAATTGGAGAAAAAGTTTCAATATAGTCCACTCCATCAATTTGATGATACCCTTTTGCAACTAAATGTGCTTTGAGATGATCTAAAGAGCCATCAGGTTTAAGTTTTGATTTAAACACCCATTTAGAACCAATGACATGCATGTTTGGCGTGCGTGGAACAAATGTCCAAGTCTCATTTTTATGTAGTGCAGCTAGCTCTTCATCCATGGCTGCTTTCCAACCAGGATGTGCAAAGGCAATTTTGACATTGTAAGGCTCATGAGGTATATTAGAGAGTGTGATGGTGTTTAAGGCATACTTAGGATTCGGTTTTACCACCCCTAGTTTAGATCGAGTGACCATTGGGTGATCTAATGGTGCTGAAGGAATAGGAATATGGTGAGATGATTCAGGTGTTTCAATCACTCTCAATTGAGCTGTGATATGTTGGTTGTAGGACACGTGAGGCTCTTGTGGTGGAAATGTTTTAGGTGAACCACTGTTGTTTGAGGACTCAGGTAACTCATTATTTCCTTCACTGGTATGTGACTCAATGATGGGGCTGGATGCATGTGATAACTCAATGGGACTTAAATTTTGAGCATGCGTCTCTGGAGTATGTGTAGCAATGGGCAACAGTGGACTTAGACATGGAGGTTAGGAAGAGTCCGTAAGTATACCTACAGAAGAAGAAATGTTAGCATGTGGCAACCAAGAGTCAAAAATGCTTATTACATGTGGCTGATTTGTTGCTATGCAAGACGTGTTAATAGGCTTAAATGGAAAATTTAACTCACCAAATACAACATGACGAGATATAAAAAATTTTCTGCTTGACGGATGAAAGCATTTATAAGCCTTGTGGTTTTCACTGTACCCTACAAAAATGCACAGTAATGTTTTTGGATTAAATTTTTTTTTTTTTCGTGTATCGCAAGTGTAGGGAAAACACTTAGAATCGAAAGCTCATAGTGAGGAATAAATTGGATGTGTTCCATGAAGTGCAAAGTAAGGAGTTTGAAAGTTAAGAGCAAACGACGGTAGGCGATTCATAAGATATACAACAGTGGTGAAAAGCTTCTATCCATAAAACTAAAGGTGCGCCACAGTGAAATAACATAGTCATCCCTAATTCTCTTATAGTCCTATGGCGTCTCTCAACCACACCAGTTTGCTCAGGGATATACAGAGAGGATACCTAATGAACAATACCTATAGAAAGAAAGTGAGTTGATAGTTTGGAATTGATGAACTCACCACCTCCGTCCGAATGAAAGATTTTGATTTGCTTATTAAACTGTCTAGCAACATATTTCTCAAAAGCTAGATATGCATCAAAAAAATCAGATTTATTGCATAAGGGAATAATCCATGTATATTTGGAAAAATCATCAACCAAACAAGCATAATATTTGAATTTTTCAATAGATAAAATAGGGGCAAGTCTCCACAAATCACAATGAATTTATTCAAAAATACTAGTACTTGAATGTTCAGAACAAGAGAAAGGTAAATGACTAAGCTTTCCTAGTTGACAACTATCACAAAGATTTTGAGATTTTGTTGTCCCTACGACATCAATGAGTCCCTTATTTTTACGCATATGTAAACTGAAGATTGAGGATGGCATAGGCGTTGATGCCAAACTTCTGTAGTGCCTTATTTGAACCAATGGGAGAAATACATTTATGGAGAAGTGGGTAGACATAGAGATCACCCTTGCGTTTCCCTGTTATCATTGCTTGTCCTGTTTCCCGTTCCTTAACACAAAAATCAACATTAGAAAATTCACTGTTAACAAGAAATTGTGTCATTATCTGGCATACAAAAAGTAAGTTTTTTGTTAAGTTTGGAACCAGTAGAACATTATTGAGAGGTAAGGCAATATTTTTTTGTTTTATACAAGAATCACCAATGGCAAGAATGGGCATGGGAGACCCATCTCCAATTAGCACAAAATCAGAACTAGAGTATTTACGAATGTTTGTTAACATACTTGGCTTACCTGTCATATGGTTGGAAGCCCCAATGTCTGTTGTCCATTTTATGTCTGCAATGGTATTGTCCAAAGTAAGAGCCACGAGTGTTTGTGGAATTTCATCTTGTTGAGTGGGTTTCTTTGACACCACCAGCATATCTTAGCAATATGTCCCATCATCCCACAATATTGGCATTGTTGCTCACGGTATTTGTCCCTCTCCACAGGTGTCATTCGGTGTTCACCAAGTGGTGGAGGACATCGTTGTGGATTTGCTGAAAAGGAGTTATTGTTGTAGCTGTGGTTCGAATCCCTTTACCGTTGTGCCTGAAAACCACGTCCATTGGAGGTGAATTTTTGTGATGGTCCATGATAGCCTGAAGGGTTTGACTGTGAGCGTTGTTGTTGCTGTCCATAAAAAGCCATTTGATGAGTGAGGGTAGAAGCTGGGACATCTGTGTGATTAGAGAACCAGTTACGCCTCTGATTGAAATTTTGGAGTTGAGAGACCAATTTAGAGTACGTTCTCAACCAATTCAGAGTATGGGCCTGGGGAGCTTCAACATAGTTGTTGTGAAGGTTTCATACTGAGGACCATGACTAGTGAGGAGGCAAAAACCTTTTTCTTGGTCTGGAACAGGCTTCCCAATGGCTGATAAATTGTCATAGAGACCTTTGAATTTGCTAATGTGTTCAGTAATTGTTGTGTGGTCTTCTTTTCGAAGACTGATCACTTGTTGTCACAATGTAAATTCACGTTCTTGTGATTCTTGGGCATATGCATTTTTTAGGGCATCCCAAACTGCATGAGCTGTGTCGAGACCAATGATGAGTCCAAGAGTTTCCTTAGAGAGTGTTCCAATGATCCACCCTCGAAGGAGACGATCAGACTTTTGCCATGCTATGAAAGCATTTGTTGACTATGGAGTGGAATTTTTTGCATTTTTCAAGCTGTTTTGATTTGGAGCTGTGAATTTGTTGGGAACAGGATCTTTATTTGTGAGATGCCCAACCAATTCTTGACTTTCTGCAAGAGCCAAGGCTTGCTCACGCCACAAGGGATAATTGTTTGGGGTGAGTCGGAGAGTGATAAAATTGCCAACATTGAGTGATAAGGTAGTCATAGCGAAGGGAAGGAGCGAAAGATAAGATGGGAAGAATGTTGGAGCTATGATTGTAACATTGCCTAGTGTTCACAATGGCTCTGATACCATGAAAAAAAAAATAGCCTAGAGAATTTGTTCTGAAAAATAATACTGGAAAAGTTTTGTATTAAATTCCAACGTGAACACTTAGGCTATACAAATCCGTTAAATTCCAATGTAAACACAATTGCATTGAAAAAAAATCCCATGAAATCTGGTTGGCTCTAGTTTGACAGACAAAATAATCTCTATTTGTTACATTGGACAGCTTGCTTGATAAAAGAGGATCCTTTATAACAAAGAATCCCTCATCAGTTGGAGTTTGTTGGATCATCGTGCTGATTTTCCTTTTTTGAAGGCTCTCCACTGATTGAGGCTAGATTGTGAGAGTTTTTGCCCTTTTTTCTTCAAGAATTTCGAGCATCATTATCTCTCCATAGACTCTCACGATTGTTAGACACGCTGAGCTGTGATATGTTACTAATATTATTAACTTAAACTTTAAAGTGGGTATGAGTTCTAGACAATTTATATTGGGCCTTAGATTACCGAGCTTCTCAGTCGCCCAATAAATGGCATTAAAGTCGATAATTGATGATCTTGATGAACTCTAGAAGAAGTCATGGAAATGCAACTCAGAAAAAAGAACAGAGTGCGAGCCTGGGTGCAAGGACTCTTGGTAGAGTGGTCATGCAATAACTCATTAAAAGAGATAAAAACTTGGTTCTTGGAAAAGCAGGCTCTTGTAAAAACTGGTTGGATGCAATATTTGTGGAGAGTACTGGATCAGACTCGAGTGGGAGGTAGGCCCGATGTGGTTCATACATGAAAGGGATGTCGTTGGGTGTTGCACGTGTGAGAATCCCACATCAGATAGAAAACTAAGCTATATTGGAGATATGATGATCCAAAAGGATTTATCTAATCTAGGAATTCAAAGAGATATTTCAATATCAGATTGTACAGCTAAACACAGATAATGATAGATATGTCTGTATTTATCTTTATCTTGTATAATTTTTAATATATAAATAGGGTTGAGTCTTATGTAACCAATCACTTTCAATAATCTATATAATAAAACACATATCAACTTGAATTTTTATCGCCCACATAATTTTTTTCCTAAAAACATCACATCACTCATTTATATCACTTGTTCAATCATTTAATATTTAATTAATTTATAATTTAACATAATTTTTATTTTAAACATTATTTATATACGATAATATACACATATTAAAAAAATTTAATATAGTAAGATCGATTTTTTGGGCACTTAAATTTTATATTTCATCGTGCCTTCAGGCACGGTTATAACTAGTATAACCTATAGAGTGTTAAGTCCGTGGATATAGACAATTTGTCGAACCACGTAATCCTTTGTGTTTCGTTTTCCTTTAATTTTATTTATTTTCAATCTCTTTTAATCATAAATTTCTTCAAATATCTTAATATATTGTTGATGGACTCACCACTATAAACTTAAGGTTTTAGGTGGGTGTGAACTTCCCGAAATTATATATTTAACCTTGGATCACTGAATTTCCCAATCCCCCAACATCTTTTACCGCTACCTCTATTTCCATTAGCCATAAGAGCATCAAGATTATCTAGTAATAACCATGTCGTAATCCATTGGAGTATGACGTATTGTCACGAGATACAAATAAGTTGAAAGAGCATCAAACCTCAATTATGTAGAAAGAAAGTTCACGGAATTTAGCCCACATCTGTGCTAGTCAATTAGTTTTCACAAAAAGAAGAGATTCCCCTTAGAGGCCTTGAATCCAGATAAGACATGTATGTATCTTATTTTAATGATATAAATCAAATTATTAAAAAATAAACATCAAGATTCAAATCCCAACATAATCACGTAACGGGAAAAAGCCATGATATATTAGCACCATTACGGAACATTTTGTATATCTTTTAGATATTTTTTTGGGTTAATAATATTTTTAGTTCTTATAGTCGGACTGTTATGTTTTCGACGAAATGATCATATATTAAACACATAATACTATTTAAAAAAATGATACGTAATCACTTTCGTGAAAAAACTTGATGGAATGTCTGATTATGGACCAAAATGACACGGATTGAATAATTAGAGACTAAATTAGCAAAAAATACATATTTTAGAGACTATAAGTACTATTAACTATATTTTTTTATACATTTTTATGTGCTGATTCTTTCTTAGTGTCAGGGGTGGCCCAAGATATTTTGGGGCCTAAAACAGAAACGATAAATGACGTATTTTTATTTTTAATATTAATAATAAATTTAATTTTTAATTTTTTTAAATATAAAAAATATTAATTAAAATTTTATATTCAAGTTTTTGTTACCCTACGTGAACTTAATAGTAAGAGAGATAGAGAAATAATAATTGAAATATTATGATGATAAATTAAAACTTGACTTTTTTGGAGATTAAAACTAGATTTTTTAGTAGTTTTAGTTTTAGCGTTAGTTTTTTTTTTCTTTATTTAAAAAAATAAATTTTAGTGCCTTTTAATTTTACGACTGAATTAATAGGCTCAATATATTTAAATTGAAATATTTTGTTTAGGCATGGATTGAAATCTTTTGTTTGGACTATTACTGTACACCTATAAATTATGGGTTTTCATTGAAATGAGGCCTTAAATTTTTTTTGATTGGACTTGTATTTTATAAGGCCTTTTGTAGAGCTTAAAATATTTATAGATTTAATTTTTTTTACATGAACTATTTATGATATTTAAAAATTTGAGCCCTTCTTTAAAAATGAGGCCTAAAGTCCGAGCTTTTTCGATAACACTATTGAGCCGCCCTTGCTTAGTGCTCTTTGAGTTTTCTATTATATCTGTCCATATTTTATAGATTGATTGTAATATTGAATCACTTTAAAGTTCAAACCAAATTATAAAAATATATTGAAACATTAACGTATACACAAAAAATTGTTGCCTTTTCTTCTTCCCCCTTTAATATACATAGGAATCTCTCTCTCACACAAACGCACACACAAGTGACAAAACCAAGGCCATTTCTCTGCTTCTACGCCACGGCATGAAAACGTAGATTAGTGGTATACTACCAGCTACATTATATAGAAAGGGAAATCGAAGAGCTCAAAGTCTAACGATGAAATGGAATGTGAACATAAAGTTTGAAACAGCAATCCAGGGACCATATCTAGTGTCGTTCTTACGTAGGTGGTGGTTGATAAAACTGAAAATTAAAAAATTGAATTTGAAATGTTGAATGCTGAATTTTTTAATTTACATACTGTTTAGTATTAACTGAAATTTAAGTATTGAATTTGATGGCGTAAATCAACGTGGATGAGCAAAAGGTACAAGTAACGTGAGATGAGCGTAGATCAGAGTTTCAAGGCTCGTGTATGATATTGCAATCAAATATTGAAGGGATTAAAGGGGTGTACACAGTAAAAATATAGTGATTAACCGGCTCAGGAGTTCGGCTAGTCTACTCTTCAATGGAGGTTCTTACTCCTTTTCTTCTCTACTGATTAGTTGAATGTAATACAAGACAGTTCTAAACTGATTATGGTTTTTTTCCTTTTCTCTCTCTCTCTCTCTCTCTCTATCTTTTTCTTTACCTCACGATGAGGCGTTGCATGGTATTTATAAGGCTGCCCCTTATTCCATGGGATTTCAACCGAGATCTTTGCCTATTATTCATGGGATCTTCCTTGATTTTAGGAGGGAATCTTGATTGGTTGAGAGTTTCATGCATGTGGCTCAATTTTCGCAGTCACCCAGCTGTTTCCTGGTCGGTTCAACTACGATCTTCCTAAGGGAAACTCCACCCCTAGTTCTCTGAGTTCCTCGTGTCCTTCTTGACCTCCTGACCCGACATCCAGACTTGACCTCACAGGTAGAGCTTGTTTGAGGTATCATCAGTTGCCCCCCAGCCCCTGATTCAAGCGGGCTTGGGCAGGGGTTGAGCTGTTTTGTAAACCGAGTAGGATCTGCACGTGATTGACCTTGGCCCGCACGTGAGTTTGGCCTTTTTGGCGACTTTCAGCAATCAAGGCTTTCTCGTTTTTTGCGCACGTTTCAGTCCACATCTTTCAGGCATTAAATGCTCAAATGGTTATCTGAACTTCCCTATTCCATTGTTCAACTTCTCTACTGCTTCTCTTTTCTTGCGATTTCTTGGTTTTCTGGTTTGGAATTCTCTGATTC